AAGACGAAAGGTTGAGTAACATCACGGTGATAACATACAACATCAGACGTGCCACACGCACCAACATTTCGTGTCGTAGACAAATAAACCGTGAGCAGTGCCAGCCATGTGGCTTTATGGCCAGCAAAGGTTAACGTGTTTTTCCACAAACTCGGTGCAGGCCAAAATCCATGAGGATTTATGTTGTCCCACAACATGTTGTACAAACATTCAAAACCCTCAGAAAATAGTTCACATATTAGTCTGAAATAGCTCCGTGTGGCACTAGAGGAACAGACTTGAAATTTCTCTCCAACTTTAGTTGTCTAGAAAAAAAAAAGAGTCATCATCATCATCAGGTTCATTTTTTTAAATTGTGGCTCACAGGTCAGAAGCTCACATAAAGTATTTACTCTTGTAAAGATGTATCGTATATATATATACATTCATATAAACAGTAGGCCCCACTTTTTTCTTTTGCAGGTTTTCTTTAAATACTTGTAGACGGAGGATCTTTCTCAACAACAACCTGAGCTGTTTTGGTTAATTTTATCAATACATTAAATAGTTTATATTCAAATGTTGCTAAATAGTTCCAGCCACTGAGCTAGGCTACAGAGAGAGAGAGAGAGAGAGAGAGAAAATCGGAACCTTCTGCAGTCTAACGTTGTTGAGAATCAACTTCTGGTTTTCTACATTTGCTTTAAATACTTGAAAAAGACAAAGGCTGCAAAAAGTTTAACGGAGTCTGCTGCTTTGACCAAAACATGTTCAGAGTAAGTCATGCATTAATTCTGTGCAGGCAGCCCTGATTGGCCTGCGCTCCTCTGAGGTTGACTTCAGACAATGACAACGTGTTCTGAGGTTAAATGAGTCCATGTTTCTTTTCTTTTTTATAAAATTTATCAGATTAAAAAAAAACACATTTACCAAGCTGTTATCACTAAAACGTGCAAATCCCTAGATCTGTGATGGTATGTTGTTGCATCAGTATCTGTGGCGTGTGGGGGATGTGTGTATATTTAAAGTCACATTGAAGACATTTTGCTGCAGATTTCAATGGTCTCTAATTAGCTGATTTTCAATAATAGAATTGGCTGTGTTTCATCTGAAGGAAATATGAAAGTGCTTGATTTTTGTCCGATAAATAAAATGTCACGAGTAAATAAATACAGATTTGCACTAACAACCTGCAGATTTGAGTTTTCAATGCATTTTAGATTGTTTCTGAAAACCTGGCTGGTGTTTATACTGTGAAACTGTAAAACGCAGCTAATGAAGTCCTCTGTTTTGCTGTGTTTATGCCATGCTTCCCTATTTAGCCGCACTCGTGACCTTTGTTAAAAATGTTTGAGCTCTTTCTAAATTGACTCTGAAAGGATCGAGTGAGCAAAAGCCAAGTAGAAACATCTCAGATCAGATTTGAAGCAGGACTCCGTAGTCACACAACGTGCATCTTGGCCAACAAAGTTTCCTGTTTTCACTCAGAGGCAGGCTCTTTCGTTTCAGCCACAGATGGTTTCGTCTTTAACGTTAAATGTATAGGACTGTGGGGGGATTTATTGGCAGAAATGGAATATAACATTCATAATTTTGTTTTCATTAGTACAGAAAGAGCCCTTCATAAGAATGGGTTCACGGAGTCTACCTGATTGGTCGAAGCGGACGAAAGACGGAGACGAAAAATCAACTTCTGCAATCTATGTAAATACAGTTGTAATATCCAAGTGTAATGAGCGCTGCTGTCGAACTATTTGATTATGAATCAAAGTAGCATCGGTTTACGACACAGGTGTTTGTCATAATAATTGAACTTTAGTTTGACTTTAAGATAAGATTCATCCTTGGGTTGTTTTTTTTTTTTACAGCAACATACTTGGTCTGTTTTCTACGGATGATATTTATCTCCCAAAAACCCTTAGGATAATGATAACAACTTCATCATATGGCATGGATAGAAAGGATAAAATGACCCAGGACACAGTATCCACATGCCTTCACCGGAGTCATTTTTTTAACTTGGGTTGTTGACAGACAAACTAAAACTGAAAAAGATTTAATCGACAAACACAGTTTGGGTGAAGATGAAGGAAGGATGGTGTATTTTTGATAAATCATGTGAATGTCGTTTCCTATCAGATGACAGTGAACATTGTCCTCCTTTAAACCCAAGCAAAGAGCTCGGAGAGCCACAACAAATAACGGTAGACAAAGAAGTCTCCATTGTCACCTGCACACCACTTCCACCCTGGCAGCTATGAACTGAAGCCCCGACTGAATTTCATGAAACCACACCCAACTGGGACACACACACACACACACAGAAAGAGGAGATCAATATTACACAACTGCAGATCAAATGGCCCCTCCATGTTGATACTTTTAGGCCATTTTCCTGCATTTAATCACTTTTTTTTAACTCCACCCCCACTTTCCTCCGCTTTCTTCAGACATTTTATTTATTTTAATGACTCCCCCTCTTAACTCCTAACTGTTCTTCATCTGCAGTTGGTTTTAATTTGCTTACGTAACGCCGGAACAACTTCACTTCAAATTTCTTGGTGCTTTACATCTGTTTGTAGCAGGACAAACAAAATCATATGGAACTTATTCGTTGTCATCTCGGTTCAGTGTTGTGGCCTCTCTTAAACAAAAGCTTAACCGGAGGAGGAAATCGGAAAGGACACTGACGTTTTGGAGTTGCCAAGAAAACAACCAGATTTATTTAAAAAAAAAAAAAACAAAAAAAAACAAACCACACTCATAATGAGGAATAATGAGGAAAAAAAAGAATGACTGGAAATAAAAAAAAGGGAAACAATTGCACTCATGAGTCAGTGCAATTATTGGTCCCTTATGAATGAAACCACAAAACTATAAATGGAAAAATAATTATACCATTAATCACTGACCAAATAAAGAACATTTTAAGACACAAGGACCAGAAGAGGACCTCAGAGAGGAGAGAGAAAATACAAAAAAACCCACAAAAACAGCCTCGACTTTAACAAGTTTGAGGACATTTCCACTGCTTTGTCCCTCATTGTATTATCAGCACTTGTCAGAGGAAGATTCCCCCTCGCCGTGACCACCAACATTTGAACTGTAGCCATCTGGCAGACGCTACACAGCTGCCTGAAAACACAAACCACCAGAGTCGGAGACAGTTTCTGCCCCGAAGCCGTTAGAGCCGTAAATAAACAAAATATTAAGTTGTGTTTTACCACTGCCATCCTACCATCAACTAAGCACTTTAAATATTTCTATTTCTTTATTCATTATTTATGGAACTCCACTATAGGTGGTTATCTTCTGCTTTTGCTCATCTGTTTGTTAATGTGGGAATTCATCACGTCGTAGAACAGAGGAGAAACTACAGTACATAAGGCTCCTCATTTTAAATTCCTGGTTAGTTTTAGAACATTTTAAGCCAATTTGTTGAACTAAGACGTGAACAAATGCAGTGGATTACAACAGATTTAACTGTGTGAAGATTCTCACTTGGACCTAACCTTGAACCCGACTCCCACTGGACAAGCAACAGGGATTTTTTTCTTTTCTACAGGGGACCAAAAAGTACAAAAGAAGAATAAAAACAATCTTTTGACAGAATGTTTCTACATTAACAGATTCACTTTTCAAACAAAGTACTGTTTCACTTGACTTTGTCTTGTCAACGGCAGAATCCAGCAGCATAGATTTTACTTCCTTGGATAAAACATGTACTAATTCATATAGAGTTCCACTAGAGAAAAGCTGAAACTGGTACATTACACCAGAGGAACCCGAACCAGGCTGTAAATCATTTGGTACTGTAGGTCGTAGGTCACAGAGGAAACCAAATTACATTTTTTCTTCCTAAATAGTGACCCCTCTGGACACAGGTCAAAATACATCTCTTAGAGCTTCTTTAAAAGATGAAAACTGTGACGCCACAGTGTGATGGAAGTATAAAAATGTTGTGATAATATAATAAGATAATATAATAATGTGGTTAGTTTTACGTTTATATTTAATTTAACATTGGTTGCGTGAGCAACTTGATGACGACTCCATAAGATCAATGTTTTACATAAAATTCTCTTGTTGTACAGAAAACGTTGGGGACCTTTCCCATGGAGTTACATCAATTCTGAGTAATTACTTCCTCCATGTTCTATATATGGTCAATGGTTTGATCAGACACAGGAAGTGCTGATGTCATCGAAGGTCACCTGTGTCATTGCATGTTTGGTTGAATAGGCGCATGGATATTATTGCCCTGAACTGATGCCGTCTACAGTACAGATAAACTGGAAAACACAATCTGATGAAAACAAAATATATTTATTTTAGTTTTCATGGTTTTAGATAGTGTCTCAGATAGTCCCCTAAGTGCTGGTTTAAGAGCTGATTCACGTGTTCAGAGATCAGCAGAGGAATTAGTCACAAGTAAAATATACACACACACAGATATAGTTCCTGCCCACGGCTGAGACCACAGCCAGATATAACGGAGTTCAAGTGCATTTGTAATTAATGAAGTACCTTCATGGCATCCAAGACACCATAAACTGCAGCAGGACGACTTGTCCAGGTTCATGACTCACGTGGATGGCACGCTGGAGTTTCCAACCTCTGTTTTTAAAAGGCTGCCAGCTCATGTTTGTGTGCAACAGGAATGGGCAGAGTGGTTTACCTTTGGCCGAGGTGTCGTCTTTTGTCTTCCACGGTCGACCAGCTGCGGAGACACTTCTCTGCTGCTGCTCACTGTAAACATCAGTCACACAGTAATGAATGTGTAATGGCTGCAGAGACGAGCGCGGCTGAGTGCAGTGACGTACCCTGTGTTCCCGCTGTCCATCCGTCCTCTCCTGTTCCCCGCCACCACCACCTTTTACAGTCATCTCTGTTTGGGAGAACACTGTGTGTTACAGTGGGGGAAATACCAGCAGCAACAACAAGGCCATACATTCATGTGTTCCATTGAATATTCACATCTTTGTTTAGTTTAAACCCTTTCACACATGCTGCAAACATCTTTGTCTGCTTTCCCCACTGCCCGAGGAAGGATAAAAAAGTCGTGTACTTCAAAAAAATCTGAAGCTAGAGCATCGAGAATGGAATTTAAGAATAGAAAGTAGAGGCAGAAGAAAATAATGAAGAGAGGGGTGGATCGGTGCGGTGTTTTTGATTTTGTGTTTCGATGTAGTTTATTAGTCACAGTCATCAGTGGTGGTTTTATTACAGTACGTTGGAGTTGTTCCAACATTCTTGGCACATGTGATGAGAACCCCCACAGACACTGGACTGAATTAAGACACACATGTAACACAGTATGAGCGGCACTGGTTCTCTGACTGTTCTCCGGAACATCATACTGTACAAAGGGCTAAATGACTTCAGGAGCCACAAACGTGTGCTCAGAGGATCTAGGTCAAACTCTTCAGTCTCTGCATAAATCTGCTGACCATTACAGTACAGTAGGAATGACTAACACGCTGTGTGTCTCAGCACAACAAAAAGTTTATTTGGTGAATATGACCAAATCAGCTGCCCATCACAGGACCACAGATACAGCAGACACAAATCTCTTTTCACACGTATACATTCACAATTTACATAAATGTGTTTTTGGACTATGACATAAACTGGAGGACCAGGACAAATCTAAAAGATTATTATTTTTATTTCTGTCTTTGGCGATTCAGTGTCTAACATGGCCTGTGTATCAGTCATTTGTAATAACCTTAAAAAATAAAGATATACAATAGCTTATAACACGAAATTCCTAACTGAAAAATCAACGCTAAATGTCCCAAAAGTACAAATTAAATTAATGTAAGCTGCCATTAAACATACACGGTGTTGAATTTAGCGCCATCTGATGGTAGCATAACATGGCAGTATCCATAAACTCACCCTTCCTGCCCAGGCTGGAAAGAGAACTAATGATGGCCTTCAGTAATGATCTAAACACACAGTTATCCAGTTCACTGATGTGCATAATGTCATGAGAGAGAAAAACACAAGGGTCCAACAAGGACACACTGTGGATAAGAGACAAGAACCTGATGTGAATTAAAACCCTTTTTTAGTCTAGTTTTGACTGGAGACTTTTCAAAGGTTTATATTCCATTCCTACAAATATAGTTTATCATGAAACATTTGTACAGTATCTCACTCCATGACATGGGGTTAATGCCTGTCTGCAGTCACACATGACTCATGTCAGGACTCCCCTCTCCTCTGGGTCTCTGCTGTCGTCTGGAGTCACCGGTCACTGGTCAGAAACGTTACACAAAGCTGCGGTGACGCCACTATTGGCTGTCTGGCATAAGAGACATGAAGCGGAAATTGTAAGAAAAAAAAAACTCGTCTCCCTTTATCTTCAGCGTTCTCTCCATCCTGTCAGCCAGCGGGGTGGTTCAGTATTTGTAGAGACATCCCACATCTCTGTGCGCACTGTGGCTCATTACTGGAAAACAAATGGGATGAGACTTCCACAGAAGACCTCCACGGTGGTTTATGAGGAGTTGCACGGGATGAAAGACGAAATGCTCTCCAAGATCCACGGCGGAGCAGAGGAGATGTCGGTGACGGCCGCCAGCCTGTTGGTGACCGCCGTGGCCATGGAGAGTCCAAACTTTACGCACGGATCCGTCTCTGTTAACGAAACCACTGCGCAGCATTCGGAAGCGGCTGCTTTACAGACCGCGATCTGTTTGCCCGTATTCATGTTTGCAGGAGGTGCCATCGGTAATTTAATTGCAATAATCGTTCTTTCGGTGTCGAGACAAGAGAGAAAATCGTCTGCCTTCTACACCCTGGTGTGCGGTCTGGCAGTCACGGACCTTCTGGGCACCTGTCTGGCCAGCCCACTCACCATCGCCAACTATCTGGACATGCACGTGTTGAAGGACGAGCACGTCTGCGAGTTCCACACTTTTCTGCTGCTGTTTTTCGGTTTAACCGGGATCAGTATCATTTTCGCCATGGCAGCAGAGCGGTACCTGGCCATCTGCTGTCCGTACACCTACCAGCGCTGGGGAGTGGACCGGCGCTTTGCTCAAAAGTTTCTGTTCTTCATTTACATGAGTCACATCTTCTTCTGCTGCCTGCCCATGATGGGCATGGCGAGGAGCGAGCTGCAGTCCTCCACCACCTGGTGTTTCATCGACTGGAGGACCCAGGACCCGGTGTCGGTCACCTACTCCATCCTGTACGGTGCCGTCAGCCTGCTGCTCATCCTCGGCACCATCGCCCTGAACCTGGGCGTGTGCGCGTCGCTGCTGCTGATGAGGCAGAGGACGGTGCAGAGGCCTGTGACCAGAGTCAGTGTCCGGGATAGGTGGAGGGCTCTGTCGTCGGCGGCAGAGACGCAGATGATCACGGTGCTGGTGTTGACCTCCGCCGTGGTTCTGGCCTGTTCAGCCCCGTTAGTGGTGAGTGGATGAACCGCCGGCACCATGTGCTGTTTCTACTTTAAAGTGAACCATCAATAACATTTTATATTATTTTAGGAAGAATTCAACAATTTACTCATTCATTAAGACCTTGTGTATGAGCCGTTAAAATAAAAACGTACATTTTAACTTTTAAAATGCTTTTTTAAAAAATATACTTAAAATAATTTGACCCTAAATTAAGAAAAAACTGTTACATTTCTCAAGGAAAATTTAAATCGGTATCACAGTATTTCATTTACTACATTTTATAATATGTTGACTTGGCTACAGCAGGTTAGAATTTTGGGTTGGTGTTTATAAACATACAGATTATTGTCCCCCCTCTCTCCTGCAGAGGGTGCTAAGAACACTCGTTGATTGCCCTGGTTTATTTTATTTTTTTTAGTACGCCTGTACACCATTATTGTTTTACATAAATCTAATTCAGTAAAAGGCCAAACCTTTTTTCACAAGATTGGGTTACACGTTTAGCCTTTAGGGTTAGTGGTTGGTGCACGTTTTCTTTGTTTGTTCCTAGGTTATCTTCAGGTTCTCAGTTTCCTCCCACAGCCCCAAATCATGCAGGATTAGTTTAATTGTTCAGTTCAAAATGACCCTAGGTAAGAGAGAGTGTGTGTGTGTGTGTTGAGTGTTGTGTGTCTCTGTGTGTGGCCCAGTAATGGACTGGGAAACTGTCCAAGGGTGTGCACCGCTCTCATTCGATAATTACTGGAATCGACTCCATATTAAATTATCTTAACAGGTTACGTATATGAAGACTTTTTTATATAACATTTTAACGTTATCCAATTGAATGTATTAATGTTTTCATAATAATCTGTTTCTACTGATGTACCTTTTCATGACCTACAGTCATGGTCACTATAATGCAGTGTTCTTAAACCAGGACAGTACTCAAGTATTCGTATAGTACCACATATTGTAGTAATTTTATTTTTGCTATATTTTGACATCCTTTCACATTTGTTGTGGAATAAAAATTGGGATCTTGGCTATTGTTTAGTGATTGATTTTTAGAGGTAAATATGTCTTATGTAAGATCTTACATAATCTTTTTTACCACACTTTTTTGGTAATCATTTCTTAAATCTAAGTCGTGTCAAGTACAGTATGTAATATCTAAAGTGATTTAGTTATACTATAAAATGTACAACCCCGCTGTTAGCTATTGTATAGTAACATTTTGTATTTGTCTCTACAACATTAGAGTGGCTCAGAACCACTAAACTATATTAACAGTTTTCTCTCTTTCAGGTTCGTGTGTTTGCCAACAGCTTCAAGCTAAAAAATGACCCTAAAGCTGACCTGGCAGCTATCAGGATAGCCTCCGTGAACCCCATCCTCGACCCCTGGATCTACATTCTCCTGAGGAGGTCACTGTTTCGGCGGTTACTCAATATGTCCAGACGAGGCAGCCAAAATCCCAGTAGTGTTCAGTCTTCTCCACAGAGGAATATGTTCTATCCTGACATCATGAGGGACAGTCATGTGATCACGCAGCTCATGTGCAGCGCAAACATCATCACTCAGATTCCTACTACTGTCAAACTGGATTCATGTCACACAGAGTGTCTCCAGCAGACTTCACACACAGCGGACTGAGGACATGTTTTACACTAATGAGTTTTGGCTGCAAATGCAGTGACACGGACTCACAGCTGTGTGTCACCAGTGAAGAGGTGAAATCACGTTGAGGACACAGCGGGTCCTCGCAGATGCTGCAGGATACTGAGAAACTGAGGCTGATACAGGAGTGATGAGAAAACGGTCTACTGTCCGGAAAAGTCCGGATAATTTCTTGGAAGTTTTACCGTCTTTTGTCATTTGTTCTGACCTGAAACATACCTCGGTGATAAACAGCTCTATTCAAGGAGACTTTGGAGGATTTGTGTCAATGATATATTCAGTATTAAAACTTGCGTTGTGGTCATGTTAACCAGATATTGTACCCCAGATAAAACTACAAGGACAATGATTTAAGCTGCACAAAGAACTGACTCAAAGTTGCAGCCGATCTGGGTTTCAGTGGAGTTGTCTTGTTTACAGAAGGACTGAGACTGGTTATGTCGAAAGTCTTCCAATAAATGTGCAACTTAATAAACAACTCGGAGTAAATGAATGAATTAAAATCCTAGAACTCATGGAAGTCCAGTATAGTCAAACCATACAACATTCAGATCACCTATTACACAGAAACACAGCAGTGTGATTTACTTAGACAATGTTTTAGTTGTTAACTGTTCTCTGCCTATGAAGTGACCTCAGCTGAGGATAAACGCAGAGGAACTCTACAGAAGACGCGTTCCTGTATTTTACATTTTAGCCACTAGGAGGCAGATGGCACCTTAAAGAAGCTGCCAGCAAGTGCCCTATACTGTGTTGACTACTGGACATTCACATTATTTACATTTTAATTATATATAGTATTTGCATGTACAGTATACATAAATACATAAATACCCTCAGTAACCCGCAGGAGGCTCCATGACCGCTTGGAAAAAGTCATGTGCTGGCACTACATTACTGTTCCATATAAATTTGATCTGTTTTAAAGCATTTTAAGAGTTTTCCACAAATTACACTCATAGATATAGGTTTACAGAATCGAGCCGTTTTTAGTTAAGCTAAGGCTAACGCAATAACAGCCTGTCATGACTATAAAATGGCTGACCTGGTGAATATGACTGCTTTGTACACATCACATACTTGTTTGTTTTACCTAATTATAATTATATACCACACGAAAAAAGGTTTAAAGAAAGATTGTCTTACTTACAGTTGTCAAGCTCCACCAACGCTTAGCTAAGGTAAGCTAAGCTGCTACAACCAAGTTGACTGCCCAAGTTGCTTCTTCTTCTTTGGACTTCCTTCAAATGTCACTACTTTAATTAGTGCCACCTGTTGGGTTGATTTTTCTGAACCCCCCTTTCATTCATTCTGGTTCAACCAAAGTAGTTTTCCAGAGTAATTTCAACATTGTTCCTTTCTAATGTTGCATTTTGTTGTACTGATTCATTTATTTTGTCCAGTCGTTAAGTTTGGTGAAATCTCTGAAAGTTTTTTTATGTTTAATATGCCACAAAATCAACTTTACAAAAGTCGGTATTCCAATATGCATTTATTACCCTCCCTCCCTTAACATTTAAAAATAGCATTTACTAAAACATAAGCAAACAAGACTGCGCTGAGCTGCACGTCTGTACATTCCATACTTCAACACCATAAATTAAAAAAAAAAATCTATAAATGTTGATGAAATCAAAACTCATTGAAGCCTCCAGTTCAGATTAGACACAGAAAAATAACATTTTTGTACAAGTTTTACATAATATTGTACTCCTCTTCCTGCCCTGTGGACATTTACATTTAGCTCCACTATACAGCAGGTCAGACACAGGAACAAGAAAAGGACATTTAGAAATCACAACACGTCATAGGTGTTGAAATTTATAAATTTGACATCTCGTCGACCTCTAAAGGTCTTTACCTTTTTTTTTAATGCATCAGCATCAAAATTGTTGCACTTCAGCAAGTTTCTAGACGCAGGAGAAAAAAAGAGGAAACATAACAGAGATATAAGAGACTCTAAGCTGCAGTGACAACAGGCTCAAGGTTTCAGTTGACTTATCCATTTCTCTTCACGTACCACAGATACACTCAATTGGTTGAGTATTTTTTTGTACCTCCAACAGTCTAGACTTTGACATTTTTAGAATACTAGTGTAAACTCTGAGGTGCAGCTAACAGTGGAGTATGACATTCCTGCATCAGGAAATTAAAGTTTCAGTTTGACTGTAGAGTTTACTGCCCTATGAACCTTGTCACTGACTTTATAGCTGGAGAGCCTAGTTGACTATTTGCTGAGTTGATCCACAGCTGTTCATAATCTCAGCCTTGTTGTAATATGTCACAAAACACCTGATTTAAAAGATGTATCTACAGTTACAGTAAAACCTGCGTTGCACCATCCTCATTACTGGCCAGGTCCAATGCCTCAAGGTAGTCATTCATCACATCGACAAAACTCACAAATCAGACGTATCACCCTTTGGCTGAAATATGATTATCGACTGACTTCTCTTCCTTTCAGAAAGATCAAAGTTTTTGTAGTGTTTTTATTTTCAAAAACCCCTTTGAACCATTTTTGTATTTTTTTTTCATTAATGCATAAAACTCTCACCCAGAAAACCTCGGCTGCACTAATCTCAGATCATTGTGAAGATTAGACCAAGTCTAAACAACGTGACAGTTATAAAAAAACAAAAACAAAAGGTAAACAAACTCACCCAAAATATGTGATGCAAAAACTTATTCAGAAACAGAAGTGACAAAAATCAATGTTATGAATATCACTGACAGAAAAATATATATATATATAAATGAAAATGAATCTTATTATTGCTGCAGTTATTTCAGTCCATTAACAGATAACAAAGACAACCATGCAACAATGAAAACAAGCCACAGACATTTCCTTAAAATAGAGGATCATGTCAAACAAGTGATAACCAAAAAAATACCAACCACTTAATGACAAACAAAACAAAACCCAATCTCTGAGAACATGCATGTTACATTTTAAAGTTTTCTCCAATCACTGTGAAATTGAAATAATAAAAAAAAGTGAAACAACAAGACAGTCAAGTCACTTAACAAATATTGGGACCTAAAATATTTATATTTAGTTTCCTGATGTGATGACGCTGACTCTGACTCTGTAAAACAAAAATGTGTCACAGCTGCTTTGGTTCAGGCTGAAGAGTCAACCGACTAAAGACAAAGACATCTGATGAAGCTTCACAAAAAATAAATATGACATAATAATATTTTAAACAAATCTATGCATTAAAACGTTTTCTTTTTCCACTTCAGAACAGTGGGGGGCATTTAACCAAGTAAGATGACAGATTCTCTGAGTCCCTGTTACATGAAGAGAAAAACTTGATGTTTTATTGACAATACCAAGAATGTTTCCTTTAACGAATGTAGAAAAATGAGCAGTGTGTGTGTGTGTTTTGTCATTCTTTTCAGAAAGGCACATTTTCCAACAATGTCAGTGAACTGCTGATTTACAGAGTTTACTGTGATTCCTTTAAAACACTTCCCTCTCTAGCATTTTACGTCACCTTGTGAAGCCCTTGTAGATTTTCTGCTTCATCCCTGGTGTGATAAACAAACTTGGAAACAATCTGGTATGAGTTTATCAGATTTTAATCACAAAGAACATATTACAAAAAAAGTCGGAGAATCAGTAGAAACCATTCTCTGAGCAGAACACTGACAACTGGCTCTGCAAACAGCAGAGTCTGATCTATTATTTACTATCAGGTTTATCCAAACAAGTGATCTTTAGAATTTGCCCGGTGACTGCTGGGTACAATCACTCAATTCCTAAATTTGAATTGTGTCATCCTTTAAAAAAAGTATGTGAAGAGTTAACCCAGAGATCTGGCCGCATGTGAACAACTTCATCAACCCCCAAGAAAGTCAACACTGGCTGCCACATGGTCACTTTTCTTTAGTCTGTAAAACCCACCAGCTCACCAAATCTTAAACTTTTACCACCATAGAGCCTCATTTATACACTGACACTGTGTGTGTCTTGCCAGACTGACATAATAATTGGACTACAGCAAGCTGTCAGTGATGTCATCAATGTAAGATGTTAACTGTAACTTACTGGAAATTTGAAATGCTCTGTTGCCCATGTTTTCTCTAAATACAGTAAGAACTGGCAAAATTAACGTCATGGCTTTGATGGACTGACCTGAAACTAAACCTTAGTAAAACTGTCTGATGTTTAAAATGTTAAGTTCTGACAGACGGACATGACGTAAGACTGTATTTGACTACAGGGTGGGTGAAATCCATGATGGCAAACACCTCCAGGATGCGTTTAGTGCCACGTGTTAATTTACCTTTGTGTCATTAACATACTGTGTTACTCACAGTATGTTAATACAGAATCTGAACAGTGCCTTTCTTCCTCCACAGGTGCAGAGAAATGCCTCATGAACAGAACAGTACCAACGCAGACCTTTGTTTTGGTTCTTGTTCACAGTAAAAACTGTAACAACAGCAGTCGTCACGAACAAACAAAAGACTGAAGTGAAACAGTGACATGTACATTACTCATTATTCATCCTCATTTAAGGTGCCTGATAAAACCAGCGATAACTCTTTTCCATACAGTTGGTTCCAAAGTAATGATTAGACGATGGTACAATTCCAGAGCGATGATTAAACAGGGGCGAGGGTAGTGGGATGGTTACGTCACCAGCCCGTCATAAATCAATTCTTCTTATCAGAACAAACAGCACTTGCCTCGAGTCTTAAGTGTGAAGCTGGGCGGAGGAAAACGGACGGCTACACACAGTAATGTCCATGAGCAGAACCCTCCACTACACCACGTACTGGTGGTTGCTGTTGACATTTGACGTGTAGGCCTGTCGGCTGTACTGAAAGTGATCGGTAAGGATGTTGTTCCAGCTGTGTGGTTGCTGCTGCTGCTGCTGATGGTGATGATGATGATGATGATGATCGTGGTGGCCGTGGGAAAAAGGCACTGAGCCGTTAGCCTGGATCTTCTCCAGAGTCGGGTTGTCAAAGGACTGCATGTCCTGCTTGGAGCTCGGCAGCAGCTTCTTCTGCTTGTTTGCATCGTATTTGGCCTGTTAGCAGAAAAGTGGAACAGAACAAACAAATGGAGCTGAAGCAACATTTTTCATCACATCATCATGAAGGCTGAATTCAAACACTAAAAAACAAACAACCATCGTATTAATTGCAGTAATCAGACCACTGGTCATAAGTATCTATGCATCTCAGTACTAAACTTTTGGTTCATGGCGTTCTTGAAGCACAGTGATGCGACTCACCTTGTTGTACAGGAAAACACCGACTATGGCCGTCATCATACCCATGACGTTGGTGAGGGTGACAGGGTTGCGCAGCATCAGCAGGGAGATGCTGATGACCATGATCCTCTTGGTGGCGTTGGCAACAGCATAGCTGAGTGGACTGACGAGGTTGAGAACACTGAAGGCGATAACGTTCTGAGCAAAGTTGCAGAAACCACTGATGAGCAGCAGGACCAAGGTTCCCATCCAACCAGAGACTTCTGACTGTAGGGAAGACGTACGGCTATTAGTTAAGTTAATCCATTATTTGTGAGTTAATCATTTAAACCATCTCAGCAGATTGTTGGTTCTGCTGCTTTTTTCTGTCAAAATGAATAAGAAGACACTGTGATCTATGTTCGGCACAAAACTTTTAAATTATTTTTTTTGGGGCATTGAAAAAGGCATGAGTTGATAAACTGTGAACATTAACAGGTAGTTTAACTTTTTTTACCAACATGATCAGCTGACACACACATGTAGTTTCAAACTCACCAGGTCTCCATTCACAAGAAACACAGAGAGATCCACAAGAATCCAGGTAGGCAGCATGAAGATGACGGCATTAAAGCCCAGCATGTTGAGGAGCCTCAGATGATGAACGTGTGTGTCACGCAACACCTTAGTAATAAAGATAAAAAAACCATCTGTTAGAAGGCGGTGAAACAAATAAACCTGTCATAAGACACACCTACTGTAGGACAAGAAAGGTTAAGGTCAAACTAAAACACCTTCAATGTCTATTGGTCCCCAGAAATGAGGACACAAAGAGGACAAGACACAACCTATGCACCATGAAATTCTATTTTATCCATATTTAATGAAAACACTACAACCGGGAGCTGTTGACTGATATCATGATGTAGACCCTCAGCTCTGTCAGAGACTAGATGGCAGAGACCATGGAGATGTTTTACCTTCTTGGAGAAGATGTTCTGCAGAGAGAAGCAGAGCGTAGCTGCCAGGGCGCTGATTAATCCCAAGACGTCAAAGGACAGTTCAGTCACTGTGGCCAACAGCACTCCGCCTATGATGGGGATGAGTGATATGTACACCTGCAGTATGGACAGGACAGAGACACAGGACAGAATCAGTCAGAGCAGAAGATATTGTGATTATTGAGGGTGGGTTTGGTCTTTGACCAGCAGACAGACTTTTATAAATTAATAATCGATAATAATTGATCATTACTGACTTTAGAGTTGAAGGATGAGAGAATATAGTCGAGCTAGTCACACTAGACATGTACAGAAAAGGTTTCAGACCATGTCACCCAGAACTATGGAGTCTATTCTGACCAAAGTCTACTTTTCAGACTTATTTGAAGATGAAGCAGATAAAACACAACAGATGATCTTGCACTTCTAATGCTGTAAGATTTGCAAAAACTGAGAAAAACACAAAAGGCCAGACAGGAGGAAATGACAAATTATTAAATAAACAAAAGAAAAATAATTATATAATAAGAATAAAAGATAATTACCTGAAACTTAATAGAAAATAAGAATTCCATCTACATTTGCATTCACTATAATTTGACTCCTTTTGTGCAAGTATTTTTTAGGTGGCCCCTGCTCCTGAGGTAAGGCGGTTTAACCCTCATTTCTTGGATCAAGTTTAACAGGTTGACATTTAGCCAAATTGCAAAACGGTAGGTCTTTGTCCCTGAAGCTGCTCCACAACATTCAGCTAATATGTGTCGGTATTATTTGCCCTTGCTGGTACTTCGCTGGGGGGATACTTTACTGTGTGTAATTCAAGTTGGGTTTTTCTCAGTGTAATACAATATTTTTTAAAACTGTAGCTTTACTCACTAAAAAAAAAATCAGCACTGCCCTGTCTGTGAACCTGGCTTGTCTTAACACAGAACTGTTGACTGCAGAGTAAACATGACAAGCACATGTTAGATTGGACAAAGTCTTCTGTCGTCACTTCCACAGTCCGGCTCTTTGACTGAGGTAATTCAGTTTCCTATGTCCTGTACAACATGGGAAAATGTAGAACAAAACCCCTAATCTCATACACCACTACCAAATATATACAAGGACCCTTCACTGTAACAGTGTTAAGACTGGTATTGTTATGTCCTCTCACGACTGACATGTCTCAACCTACAGCTGCACGCGTAGATGGAAACTTTACAGGACAGAAGACAAATTTAGCATAACGTCGTTCATGTTTTTCAGGCCGATCAAGTTTGTGAGCAAGAAAGATAAAAATAGAATCTACTGAAGAAAATGAACTTGTTTTGTTCCTAAGTATTAGGGCGTTCATGACGGTGAAAATCTGTGAAGTAAGTCTGTCAATTAAATCTTGTCAATTCAGTAGTTGAGGCAAGCTTAGGTCTTCTGCACGACATTGACAGGCAGAAGATCATCTCATAAATCAAATAAATATTGAAAATCGCCACAAGCACACAAGTCAGTTGTTACATTCGAATCAATTATATGAGAGAAGAGCACGGACATTTACCAAGATGAAGGAGCAGGTGATTCATTGTTTATGAAAGGAAACCTAGATTACCCCAGCTGACCTCCAACCTTTGGCTAAATACCGTTCAACATCGGGGACAAAACCCCTGCAGATGTCTGTAACACGAGCTGCAGTACAGACGCTCTCACATGCCACATCATCACAGCCGAGTCTCCTAAACTTGGGAAACAATCAGCTTTAGGAAGCGCCTGGTGCAGTGTTTTCTCTGTGGAACCTACTCACCTTTGTGGTTTGCTTTTCTCTCATGATAATTCTTGATAACAGCACAACCCATATAGGCATTGTGGCTTTGACTGTGAAAGAAAGTGAAACAAAACAGAGTGTCAGTTTTCTTGTTTTGGGTTACAAAACGCTCTTATGTATAAATGACATCCCGGCTTCTGTCTTTTTTTTAAAAAAAACCCTCTGTTATCCACAACAGGTTTGCTGAAACATTTTTGTTTACCATGTTATGCGATATTACAGCTTGTTTTCTCTTCTATGCCTGACAATGGCTTTGTTTACAAGTACATAAAAAAGAAGAATAAAGGCCTTATCAAGAGGCTTTAACAGAACCAGACCACACAAATATAAATATAATACAAGTATTCAGAAAGACTTTTCAGAAGAGTATCGTCTTCATGTTATATCAGGCAGGAGTCTGTGTAAACAGGAATTTTGATAATCAGGAAGACACGCCTCAGCCGGGAGTGATGTGATGTGTCAAGATGTTAATCATTCTGATGGGAAAACTTAATTCTAATGAAAATAAACTTTAAGTAAGTAAAACATCGGGACTGCTGTATTTGGATGATTAATTGATGAATATGGCTCTTGGGCAATTTGTCAAAAAAATTAAGATAGGGTACTCTAACTTAAGTGTATTGAAGGCGACCACAGTACAACACTGTTTCTTCGCCTTTCTATATTGATGAGACAACATTAGATTTTCATTAGCATAAATAAACTGCATGTTCAGTGTTTTTGATTGTGTATACTGTAACCAAATTATTTATAATTTGGTTACAGTATACACATATTCAAAAAGTCATTGTATAAAGCATTAAAAAAATTGAAACACCAATCTGATCCTAGTATTTTCAAATCATTAAATGAAAATGAATGTGACGACAGTAAGAAAAAGGAGGAGTTGCATTTTAATTGTAAGATCAGTAGTTACTGTGACTTTGGAAATGGGACCTGCCTATGAACAAGAACCATTAGACCAAAACAGAGTCAAGTCCTAGGATTTTTTTTTGCAGGAGTTACTATTTAAACAGAGTGTATCTTGTAACAGCTGCAAGCAACATGGAAAACACGCATCTAGTTTGGCGTTGCATATATTGTCTTTCAGTGGAATGTAGACAAGACAACATTTCACATTTGTTAGGAGGAACCCAGTCCACTTGTGTTTGGTCTTAAATGAAAGCCTATAAGGTTGTGGGAAGTAGGCCTGAAATGTTATATATACTATTATTAGAAAGAGAACAATGCACAACAATGTCTAAGGTTACCTGTTCATCACATTTGGTTTAGAATTAAAATATGACACACAGAGAATGGACTAATTAACATAGTTTCACACCCATTTTTGGGTCAGAAAAAGGATCTGGAGTTGAATGTGATTTGATACAATTTAAATTCATAACATGACTCTACACAAAAATTTATAGTACCATTGTTTTAATGTTTAACCCCCCCCCCCCCCCCCCCCCCCCCCCCCCCCCCCCCCCCCCCCCCCCCCCCCCCCCCCCCCCCCACAAAAATGTATAGTCCCATTGTTTTAATTTTTAACCCCCCCCCGCCCCCCCCCCCCTAAATCCCCATAAGTTTAAGCTTCATCATTGGGATCATTGGGAAGACATGAGACATAACAGTAATGGTGTTAGTGTCCATCTGTGAAGAGGGACATTAAGACCCAGTAGGTAGAAGTAATGCAACGTAAACAATGCAGGACTGCTGTAAATACCCAAAGAAAAGGAACAGAAATAAGCTCAGCTTTAGATAAAAATGCATTTGCAGAATGAAAACTGTTTTGTCACTGTGCACATAGCTTGTTGTAAGTAATAAATCTCTAAACATTTTTTATCTGTATCCCACGACGAATTAAGGACATTTTTGTGGTGAGAATGCACACTAAGTGCCAAGTTTACAAATGTGTGATGTTTCAAAACAGTGTTTTATGGCTTTAAAACACACAGTAGTGCATGCGTGTAAAGATATGTTTAATATTGTGACTATTTTTAGTGAATATAAGGTGCGAACATTACAGAGCACATTCAGTTAAATGGATCCTCCCACCAGTGTCACGTCAGCCTTAATTAACTTGGCTAACAAGCGAGCTAACAAACGGTGGCCCGGCAAATTCACCTAATATACACTTTTAACCGGCTATTATCCACGTAAAGAGGGACTATCTATTAAAAAGTCTTCCTATTCACGGCCCCAACAAAACCAGTGGTCCTGGGCCTAGCACCGACAGTACGACTGTAGTACTGCGCTGTCCGCAGCTAGCCATGAAGCTAACGTCAGCTGACGTCAGACACATCAGCGAGTTAAGCGGTAGACACACACCGGCTGGCCTCACTGTAGCGCTGTAAAGGAAATGAACACAACCAGATGTACTCACTTGTATGTGCGTAAGACACCGGCACCTTCCATATGCTGAAATGAGCCGACACTGATGCGAAGTATTTCCCGAAAGCCAGGGGCAGAATGTACCAGCGGTAGTACCTGTTCGGCACTTCTGTTTTGGGGACTCCCCATGCCCGCAAGAGCGGCGGTAGGAAGACGACGATGGAGAAAATGTGAAACAAGGAGACGGTGACTGGGTACGGAAACCCGTTCAGGATGATTTTGTTTACGATGTTTCCCCCAGAGCTGACTGTGTACCAGCACACACAGAGAGAAACTATCCGGATCCCTTCCCTAACCGGGGTCCGTTCCACCGCAGCCATCTTCCAGAGTGACGAAGGGAGGTGTGACTGCTTGTGCAATGGGGAAGGAGGGAGGACCAGCTCCGCTCATTGTACAGTCTAATTGGACAACATACACATATGGGATTGTTTCCGTCTAGTGCCTTCAAACTGAATGTAATAAAAGAATATAATATAAATGTCGACTTTTCTTTCTTTATTGTTATGCGTGTGCACCGCTACCATCCCTCACTCAATCTTCCTCTTCTTAATCCACTTACCCGCCTGCCCTCTAAGAGGCGCCAAAGAGCGAATAAAATTCTAAGACGAGAGAAGTATCAACATTTAAAACTCATCTTTTAGGAAATTATCAACATCATAAAGCATTTACTATACAAAGGATTGCAATTTTTTTTCATCATGTACATTTGTCAAATTTTTAATATTACAGGTATAGTGCTTCAAAATAGTACAAGCTGATGTGTATTGTGTAAATTGTAAGTTATTTTTAAATTTTAGTACATTAGAAAGCCCTTATATCATTTTTTTTCATCATGTACATTTGTCAATTTGTAAATTCTAAGTTATTTTTAAATTTTAGTATTGAACATTAGAAAGCCCTTATATTAAATGATAAGTCTTCTTTTAATCATAGTTAAACATCATTAGTCACTCTAAAGAGGAAGCAAGTAAGAACTACAAGATCAGTATTAAAAGGCTCTGTGACAATTTATGAAATGACAATTAGCTACATGTAAAGTGTAATGCAAGGCTCTGTGACAATTTATGAAATGACTACATGTAAAGTGTAATGACATCAGTATTTGTTTTGTCACCTTCAGTCATGGAAGACCAGTTCTACATTTAACAATATAATGTTTTCCCCTCTGTTAAACAAATTATGGAATTAGCATATATGGTGTAACCTCTATCAAAGAAACAAGGTTCAAACAATGAAATACCACACACAGTAGTTACAAACCCATAAAAAACAACCCCCCACTTATTATCTTGCTCAAGTTTTTTTACTGAAAACTGTAAAATATCAACAATCATCCACAATGCAGCACCCATGCACACTCAAATGTTACAGAAAGATAATTCACATCAAGTCCAGACAGACATATGGTAGTATCTTTAACTTCTTCCCATCTCCATTTGGGTCCAAGGAGACACACTGTGTCCAGTCATACCAGACACCCTTTGTGTCATAACAGCCATTGACACCGGGCCAGTGTTGTGTGTTTAATCTGCTCAGGTCGTCTTTAGTGACCTCTCGGGTTATCCCTGGTAAATCCTCGACTGGGACTTGAGTTGCCAACGCGTGTTTTGTTTTGGTGTCTTGACTCTGTTGTACTCCTTTCTTAAAGAAGTCTGTCATGAAAACATACTCACCGTGAGTGCGGACACATGATGATGTCTGCACACTGCTCTGCCGACTTAGATAGGACTGTATGATTTCGCTTCTTGACAACCTTTTCCGGTCAGTCAACTGGAAGGGACATGAAGGATTTGGCCGAGTTTGTTCCGACCCCTGAGGTTGATTGTCCAGTTTGACCTCTTTGTCAGGTGAGCATTCCAGTTGGGAGAAGAGTGTCTTCCTCCCTGTTTCAGGTTCAAGTTTTATTCTCTTGTCTGTTAACTGCAGGGGTTTTGTGCTACGTTGTAGAGCTAGTGTATCTGCACATGCATCATTTCCTTTAGGCCTGTATTTCTGTCCTTCTCTTTTCCCTGTACTGTCACTATCTTGTCTATGGTCACGGTTCACACTGGTAGACAAGGTGGTGCACTTTTGAGAACCCGAATCCGCAGACCATGAACGCCTAAAATTCTTAACACAGTACCCTGAAGGTTGAGCAGAAGGTTCTAAGTTGCCTTCAGACCCAGGTCTCATTTTTGTATTAGAAACACTCTGCTCCTGTGCTGGTGCAACCTGCTTGACAAGGGCTTCCTGCGTCAGAGTTTGAGACGTTTGCAAGGAACCTCTGACTCGGCAGTGCCCCCTAGAGGCAACTTGTTCCTGACTGGCTTGGTGCTGCAGAACTGGTACTTTATGCAGAGCAGATGTGCTGAGTGACCTGCTGTATCTTCGGCCTATTGGTTGAGGTTGAATAGAATTGATTAAGATTTTATGAAGCCTTTTATTGGTGAAAGATTCAGAAATACCCCTGTCTGAATGTTGACATTTCTTTGAATTAGTGGAGGATGAAATTTCAATACTGTTGTTTAAATGTCTTTCTAGATTATTTGGCATCTGCATTTTGTCATTTAGATTCATTTTGCATTTCTTGACTAGAAACTGTCCTTCCTTCTGGTCAACCTTGATTTTATGGTTTTCTGGTCTGTCTTGATTTGGGGGTAAAAAGTGGTTGAATTCATTGTTGTTCCGCAAATCTGGTTTAGATGATGTAGCCAGCAGGGGCACGCACGGACTACCTTCACCACTCAAAGACCGTGAGGTACCTGTGTTTCTTTTTAACAACATTTCATCACTGTCTGCTTCAATTAGTTTCTGCCAGGTTCGTAGAATCTTCTTAGCCCGGCGAGCCAGGTCCTCATTTTTTGTTTTTTTGCGCAAATCATTGATGAGCTTTCCGAGGCGGGTTTCCTTAAATAAAAAAGAAGGCATGACTTAATTCCTCATACGTATACAACTTCATTTATTTTATTTGATTGTATTAAATGTAGACATGGATGAAACCTACCTCAAGTGCTCGTTTGGTGATGGGATAGTTCTCTAAAAGAGAAATAACTTCCAAAACAACAATCATGTTGCGTATCTGCTGAAAAACATGTTTCATATCAGAATCTGGATAATTATAATAATATTAAAAAAGTATCTAAGTACAGCTACTTGAAGGTAAATATTTCAAAGTGTGACTTAGCATTTTTGAGGTGACATCTGAAGTAAGAAGACAAGGGCTTTGAAAATGTCCGGCTTATTTGAATGTACTTTCAGTCATGCACCTGGTTCCTATGATTCAAATGACTCAAACTGAATCTCATGCTCTGATTATCTGGTACTGTATTTAAATTTAAATAGTAAACCACATGCAAACAGTTTCAGATCAAAAAGCGAGAGAGAGAGAGAGAGAGAGAGAAACCCACTGAGCCTCTGTCTTCATTTGAATCTTTTGGTTATTGTTCTATTATTGTGACTTTGATGGGACATTGTGTGCGGTTTGGTAAATCAAGACTGGATTATGAAGTTTATGCCTTGAACAAACCACCAAGATTTTATTACAATATGTTGATTCTCAACATAATGTTTTTATTTACACCGGTCAGCCGCAAATACAGATGTTTTATAATTAATTTTAACATGGAAAACATGGTAACCAATATACATAAGAATGTTCATAAGAATTGTTCTCAAGCGTTGAGAAAGAACAGAAAAAATGCATCAACAATTCTTTTGGAAACACACAGAAACCCTGTAAGGCTCTGTCATGGTTTGAGGTTGAATTTTAACTGAAGGTTTTGGAAACATGGTGAAACTCAGGGTGGGCACAAGGGGGTAGCTGCCACTAGTAAAAAAAATCGTAGCACTTATTGGTAGGCTATTTAAAATATGTAATCAAGTCATACTGTATACTACTGCCACGTCTTCGCTCCTAATTGCAGATCTTACTCAATGATTCCTGGCCCCTTTCGGCAGCACAAACTGTACCTAAATATAATCCGTGCTGTCTTTATCTAAATGGTTCGTGTTCCAGTAAACTGCGTTGAACACATTACTTACTACCGGCGTTCCATCAATTTATCGACCAATTTATTTAGTAGACAAATATTTAAAACAAAATAAAACAAAAAAACAAAAAACAAAAAAACAATCACTATCTGCATGGTGTTTGCTTCTCTTCTAACTAATTTATTAACTGACGCGCATACTCACATTGCACTGGCCGTCCATAGACTGCAGCAGTCGGTCTCTCAGCACCTGAGGAGTCGCTTCTATTGGAGCAGGAGCCGCTGACATCTTCTGGCGGTGTCCCGAGTCACTAAAGACGGACTGAGAACAGACCGATGCGGCGGTATACGATTTGCCGACGTTAACTAGTTCTCAGAATCATTGTTGACAGTGGGCATCACCTTATAAACACGAATGTGTTCCCATAAATCGGCGTCTACAGCGTTGCGCTTAAGTGGCCAGTTGAAGCTACGTCACTGTCGCCGCCAAATTAGATTGGACCAATCGTAAACAAGAACGGCGTGTCAAAAAAGTTAAGCAAATTTCAAGAAAATAATTTTAAATAATGCAAAACATCCGTCTGTTCATTTTTTTTTTTTTTACATATATTCTTCTCCTTTCTGAGTCTGACCTTATATAAATTTAGGAGGTTTTGCTTTTGTGTTTTTCCAAGTAACCGTATGTTGTTGTTCCCGTATGCAAAGTTAAATTATTATTATAATTGATTAAATAAATTAAATGAATACATAAATTAATTAATTAAAGATGAAATGTTGAGAAATGTGGTGTTAAAATTCAAGGAAAGCCATTACAAGTAAAATAACCTAATTACTGTTATTATTTTATTTTAGGAAACAAAATTATACAAATGTTAAAGAGTAGTACAGAGTAGTTTCAGAAGTCGTTGTCACTTTCATCCAACAGGGGCGGTCCAATTCCTCCGAGGGAGTTGTGAGGCCCCTTGGTCACCGATTCCTCCAAACTGTCATTGTCCAAATCCCTGCTTTCTTCCTCCTCACCATCTTCATCTTCTTCATCATCCTCATCAACATCTATTTCGCTGTCCTCAGTCTGAAATGACAGACCATGTGATCACATCTTAAACGGAAAATGCAACATTGTCCAAAAGCTGCAAAATCCACGTAAACCAAAAACTGCTAACTAGCAACAATCTAGAGGAGAACAGACAGGGGTCAGATGGACTTTAAATGGGAAGAACGCAATTTTGTCCCATTATTAAGAATTTATTTTGTTCTGTTTAGCAATGTACACTTCTACTCCCTGTCTCTAACCTGTAGGTGATGCTATACACGCAGTTAAATATACATAAATAGATAGAATTTTATTCAGTAATCAGAAAAATTAAATAGATGCGCCGCCCGGGAATCGAACCCGGGTCGCAAGAATGGGAATCTTGCATGATACCACTACACCAGCGGCGCGTTACGATTCACATAGCAAAGGACCGACCAATCATTTAATTCTATCGGTGTGTTTTACCCATCGAAATATATTCTGCTAATTCAGTCAGTACATTTTAACCGTAAATAAGGAAACATTTAGGGTAATTCCTGATTTTCTAATGGGAAAAGGACTGGTACCTTCGTGCAGAAGGCTCTGTATACAAGACAACCTACTCTCCAGATCCCACTGAATCAGGAAGGTTTCCGGTGAATAAAAACAACTCTGCCAGATCACTGTGCGGACTACGACTGCAGTGATGAAGGGATGAAGGGATACTCTGAAATATATTTTTTCCACATCAACATAAGGCATTAAAGACATGTACAGTAGCCTATAGAATATTTGCTGCGTTAAACAAATTTAATTACTGTGTATTGATCATTACCAAGGCTGATCCCGCAAAACCCCTCAGCCTTGGTTCTTTTGTGAGATGAATTACTGCCACCTACTGGGTATTTTTAATAGTCCACCCAGAAGGTGTTTCTGCTCCTTTGCAGAGGAAACAAGTACATGAAAAAACCCAGAGAAGTTGGAGACCGTGCTGAAGTTCACCGGCACCCAGTACTTTCTGTGACCCTCGAAAAATGATTCATTTTAATTATTTTGCCAGGTATTAATTAATTATTTCAATCATAATCTTAATCATAATAACAGTAGAATAAACAGGGAGTCTAAATAAAGACTTCTACTGCAGCTCTGGTCCTGCACAAACCTTCAAATTCCGTGGTTTTGCAGAATGATTTGACCTTCTGGGAACAGCTAAGAACAGCTTTTAGAACACACATGATTGACAGAAAGGTGAGATGATGAGAAAGAATAAACAGAGGTGGAATTATTATTTCTCTTTATACAAACACATCTAACTCAAGAGCATCTCTGACCAAAATGTATTTATTCATCTCAGAGAACAGAGTGCAGGAGATAAATGTGGAAAAAAGAGAGGGATTATGTAGATGATACTAAAGAAGGACTCACCTCATCACTGTTACCTCCCTGCATGGTCCCAACAAAACGACTTCCTGTTCCTTTAAAAAACAAAAGGATAGCAAGGATTTCACTGCTTATGTGTTAACTCGTGTGATACAGGGTGTCTTCACACATTTCTACATAGATGAGTGAATATTCATGATTTATTTTTGATGTACTTCCACCCATTTTCCTCATTGTTTTACCTGCTAACATGCTATTCCGCATGAGCTGTGGCTTTGAAGGTCTCGACTCTTCGATGTCACTGTCCGAGCCTTCGTCCTCTGGAAACTCCATGTCAGAATCCTCATCTTTTACTGCAAAAAAAGACAAAAAAGTAGGGTTAAAAAAAAACAACAGAAAAACAAAACCCACATGTGTCAATACAATGCTCATAGTTTGTGTGGGTTTCTCACAGGAGCTCCTCATCATGTCTCTCTCCTCATCTCTCAGTTTGTGCTGCATCATCCTCAGAGTGTTCTCAGCCTCCTGAAGGTTAGAAGATAAAGTTTGGTGCATCACTCACTCTGTCTTTTCCCACCCTCAACTAGAAGTACAATCAGGATTTCCTTTTCTGTGATATAATTTTTTACCTCCTAAACAACTTCATCTATACAGTCTTATGCATTTACTGTGTATATAGGTAGGTTATAAGACAAAGACGTCCCTGGTTTTTGAAATGACCTCCAATTATAAAGATTGCCTCAAGGCGGTGACACTCTTTACTACTAACGTAAGTCATACAGGAGGGGATGAATTACTCTGACAGAGAGTAGGATTAAAGGTAAGTCATTTCTATTTCACTATTTGAAGACCAAACGCTGTGCCATGTTTCATTCATATTCACACACCTCAAACCTCTCCTGCTCCAGTCTGTGGTATTCATCCAGCTGAGACTCCAGGAAACACAGGTTCCTGAACTTCTCCACATAGACGTCATAATGCTTTTGCAGATCTTCCTCAATTTTCTCATATTCGTCCATGAAAGCCGGCCTAAACAGAGAGAGATGGATGTCAAGAAAACACTCGCATTACTGCAGTTCAACTGGAGGTCGGCGTTCTGTCCAGAAATTATTACTGCTTTTAATAACTGCTTATTTTACAGAAAATTTACCAACTGACCTGACACTTTGCAGAGTCAGAAGCCTCTTCCTGTTCCTCTCCAATTCCTGTTTCTTCTTCTCTATCTTGGCATCCAAACTGCTTTCATCTGACACAACATTACTCAGCATCTCTTTGGTCTTCTCCACACTTTCCTGACATCAAACGAAAGGCGTGATGACACATTTGACGTGGCTTGACTGCGTGACTGAACCTCAGTCTTAATGCACGTGAGTTTTTACAAAACTGCTAAATACATACCAACACCTCCTTGATAGCTGCTCTCAGGGCCTTTTCTGTCTCGTTGATCTCCAGAGGTCTGGCAATCGCTGAAGTCCTCATTTCCTGTTGGCACAATGAGAAACAATAAAGTCTTAAAATCTTATTACCTGACATCGTCAACTTACAGCAGTAGGTTTACTGCAACAAAACAATGATTAATGAAGTAATTCTAATGCAACCACAGGCTGATAATTTATAGTGATATTAATGTGACTATTGTGACTATGTATTTACTGTAAAGGAATATGTAAATAAAAAAAAAATCAAGGGTTAGTAATTTTTTCCTCACCCTCAGATCAACCTCTTTTCCCAGTAAATCATATAAAGATGCTCCTTTAGCTGTGGACTCCGAGGCCAGCTGTCGGGCTGCTTTCAGGTCTGAAACCTACAGTAAACAAAGTGGGAAATAATCAACACCACAGTCTTCCATATGACTTAGCGACATTACTGTATACATCAAGGCGTCTCACCCGTGAACCGAGATCAAACTTAAACTTGCTGTTTTCCTCCTCCACTCTTTCTCCCAAGGTCAACTGTTTGGTCTTCATGGCACTGTATAAAACTGATGTGATTTTCAGCATCTCCTTAACTGCGTAACCATCAGCCTGGTAGAGACGCTTTGTGTTCAGCTTGATATGAGCCTTGGTAGCCTATAATCAGAAAAATAAAAACAACCAGAATAAGATACAGACAGCAGGTTTAACAGGCTTTAAATAAGCTGAACATTTGGATCACAACATCCAAAGCTGTCACCATGAACTGTGCCACAGCCTTAATGAAGAAAATCCTGTCTGACTCTGTATCCACATCTGTAGGTATATCCATGTGGGGTTCGTATCTGCAATAAAAAAATAAAGCTGTGAAAACCAAAGGTCTGACAGGCAAATATTTGATATTTTAATGTATTTTTCACTGGGTTCTGGAATTGCTTTTAGGAGTTTTAAAACTGTTAGACCAAATTAAAAACAACAAAACAAAAAAATTGAATATATATTCTTAATAATATTATAAGCCTATTTATCACAGTGCACATAAGGAGAACCGAAACAGCTAATTTATTTAATTCTGAAACCACATACACAAAACGCTCTCTCTCTTTCTGCTTCACATACACACTCCACTAGATAGAGCCAGAGTACCAGCAGTGGTATGCGTTCATAGGTTGAGATCCACCGTACTCATCTTTATAAATATGACTGCGCCTGAGACACACACAGTTACGAGGCACAAGGTTAGCTTTAAATCTGAAGTTTGGGATCATTCTGAAACTCACCTCTTAACAAGCCATACTAGAATTTCTGCTACTAAAGAGAAGTTTGGAGTTCTGAAGTTTTCCATCGATATCAGCCGAGGATAGCCCAAGGCCCTCATCATTTCAGTGAAATCTGCCAAATCAGATGCAACATCATAATGACATAAAGACCAACTATCGGGGGAGAAATACATGTTCACTAGATGTTTCTCTTACTTCTGGAGTCTCTGAAGGACATAGTGACCGACGTTAAGTAGAGCAGCTCATAAACTGTTTTCAATCCGACACGAATTGTTGTTGGATGTTCCCAAGGAAAAGCTGTTCACTGTATACAGAGACGAGGGTTTGGTACTAAAACGAGATACGTGCATCAAAACAAATGACAAGATCTAAAACATAAAAAAAGTAACATCAAAGAAGATCACTGCTAGAACTTGGGTTACAGAAGACAGCTAATTACATACATTGGTACATTGACTCGCTAAAAAGGGCGTAAGAAGCTAACGTTTGTTTCCGCCGTATTACTGACAATTTCTGCTTAAAACTATAAATTCCGAAAATAATGAATTAATTAGCTAAGAAAAAAGGGATATGACAGTGATTATGTTACCTTTCGCTGCTCTAGCCTAGTTAGCTCCACTTCAAACCACGGAGTCTCCATGGAAACTCATCTTTTTCTCTGAGGGATAATGGCTGCTGTCAGGGCATGGTTACGCTATATACTGCCATCTATTGGACAAAAAATAGTGCAGTTGTTACATAAAGCTTTTTAACGTTAATACTCACTCATTAACCGTACATTCTAAATCCATTTACGTACAATTGTGTACAAAATTAGAACAAATATTTTCCAACAATTTCTAACAGACAGATTACTTTTTAATTTTTTTAAATTACAAATTCTTAAAATGCCGTAGTAACTAAAATCCTTGGTTTGGTAATTCACTGCAATGTTCATCCACTCAGTTTTATGAAATGATTATTTTTGAGTAAAATATTGTATTTAAACCTCAATTTTAAAGACAAATCTGAGTGTTTTGAATCAATCATCTATATAAAAATGTTTAGAAGATTAATTTGCTTGTTTTTTTTTAAATGTATCTTCCAATTTTAATTATAATCTATAGCCTACCTGTTGGCATTGCCTGGTGCAGCCACAAAGGGGCGACACCTTCCAGTCAAAGTCATAGAGCTGTTCCTGCATCTGCATCGGACCGTACTGCTGACGTCACACATAGCATAATGGAGCAAGGCAACAATAACAGAGAGAGTGGAAATGAAGCTACCGCTCACTGCCTCCACAGTAAACGCCTAAAAGAACTGGAGAATGCAGCCCTGCAGACAACATTAATATCACAAATGGAGACAGAATCCGTACCGGAAGTCGTGAACCTGACGGAGCAGGCCGGGGTCGTTGAGCTGACGAATGGCTTCTCGGTGAGTCCTCGATCGGTGCCTCCGCAGCTCAGCGCAGACACCGAAGCAGAAGAAGACGAGTCAGGGAGAAGTGTCACCAAAGAGCGGGTGGAGGAGGAAAGAACCCTGACGGACCATTTAAATAAACGACTGCTAACGTCGTTCCTGGAGAAACTGAATGAAAGGGACCTGGCGCTGCCCGGTGTCCAGCGTTTGGACTGTGCTGTAGCCGACGAGGACTCGAACAGGGCCGCAGATGAATGGTGAAGCCGCGGCGCCGCAGGTGCTTCTTGGACTTCAGGACCAATGAGCACCGAAACAACACTCCTGCATCATTCAAGAAATACTTGCATTTCGACACATTTACAGACTTACATTTTTCTGTAAATGTATTAGTTTTGTATGTCCGGTTCAGTGTTACAAACTGAGATGCAATAAATGACCAAGTGACACCAATGTCTTTGTTCTCAGTCACCTGTTGTCCCGTTTATATGTAACGACTTTCTGAATACAACATTTTAATACAAAAAGGTGGTGAAATAAGTGCACTATGATGTGGGTTTTGTTGAATATGATTCCCTGAGCTGAGGAAGTTCGGCCTCAGAAGGTTATGCTAAGACAACTGGAAGGTTCTCCAGTTCATAAAAGTGATGTCACTGGACATCCAGTGTGAACATCTAATGGTGATTGTATTTAACATATAAAGTGAACAAGTACACAAAAACAATCTGTTTATGCCAAAATAATGGGATTAGAATATTACCTACAGTAATGTTTTGGCTGCAGCACTAGTTCTGACCAGTAGGAATTTCAAAAGGGATTCTGGTGTCAAGTGCTAGGTTTGATTTAATATTCTTTCAAAGAGACCACATTGTTGATTTCTCAGGTGTGCCACATTTGTACGACGACCAGCTGCACACAGCACAGGTGTACACACATACAGATACTGAACATTCCAGAATTAACATCCCGATGAAAGAGCTTTAAAGAATTCAAATAACACCTGCTGACATTGGAGTACATTCTTAATTACTGTCAGAAGAGGAATCAAGTGCCTCTATGTGGAACTCCTAATATTCTCATATTGTGTAGCACCATTTAAAGTATAGGCAAGGACAAAACTTTGAAAGTTTTGAAGTGAAACAGAGGAACAGAGAAGCCACCACCATACATGATTTTTGGAAGAACAATCTTTAGTTAGTTGAGACTTTCAACGGGGAACTGGCATCCCAGTTGTCCGTGTGTAAGGTATTCATAGGCACAAGCTGAGGGTTATCTGTTGCCCTGTGTCCCTGAAAGAAAAACGAAAAAAACTGTTGCCCTGTGTCCCTGAAAGAAAAAAAATAAAAAATGGTTATCTGTTGCCCTGTGTCCCTGAAAAAAAAACGAAAAACGAAAAAAATTAAATTAAAATGTATTTTTTTTAAACTGCTCCAAAATCACAGAAGTAAAAACAGTGACTTAACGATTTCCTTTTTTTATTTCAAAATAGAAATTGTTGTAAAGTCTTTACCTTATTTTTCTGTGGCTGCTGGGTATCCCAGCATGCATTGCGCAGACATGGACACATTTTCGACACCTTAATAACACACAGAAACAAATCCTATTACAATTGATAAATTTCATTGTCATTGTTATTTTCAAAATTGATATTTATTTATTTAATAAATAAGAACAAACGAAATTCATATTTGACAGCACAGCAAGATTTAGTAAGGAGTGTGTGAATATATTTTATAATGTAGAATTAAAGTAAGGGATTTCTCAAAAATCCAGATGGGGACAACGAACACCATGCTACAATACTGGAAATATAAATATATTTAATCAAAGGTCAGTGTTGCAGTGAAGTGATTGGCCTTGTCATCCCTTCACTGTCACAGTGCACGTTTTTATTTTATTCTTATTTATTTACAAGGTTCTTTATTTTTTACATGAAGTCAAAGTCCATGTTTTTATACATACCCTGTGCTCTGAAGGGCCGTCCACCTGCTTTTTATTCAAATCCCACCACAGTAAACCTTCCTTGATATCACTTCTTTTTGTCGGCCCTAAAAGACAAACAGAGGACTTCAGTTATTGTTACACTGTAAAAGAAAATAAATCTTACTTGTACTTAGACGTTGGCAGCATTTAAACCACACTGAAGAGACATTTATGACGCAGCAGAATGACCAGATAATTCAGCCTTCACCGACAATGACTATAGTTCAAACTGCATGAATGATGTGTAACTATGAATCAGCGTTTTTCTTTTTTGTTGTTTGGTTTTTTATCATCAGTATCTCATTTCACATTCGGTTTTTTATCATCAGTATCTCATTTCAAAGAGTCATTTCAACCTCCTCACCTGTGGCATAACTCACTATCAGCCCCACCAGCACCACTGAACTGGTCGCCATGGCACCAAAGTAAAGGTAGGACATGTGGTAGAAGTTGTGCAGACCACTAGGATAATAAGGAAAACACAGTGTAGAAAGGTAATTTAATTTAAATCATGTCCACAGTGTGCAGCGTGGCATTCCGTTGAACTTGAACTGACCCCTGGTTGCTGGGATGGAGACGGGTGGAGATGGCGGGTTGTTCCAGGTCGGGGCCATACAGGGTGACGTTACCAGCCGGACAGCTGTCAGTGTAGCTGGGTAAGACGCCCATTGTCTTTTCATTAGGTGGATAGAGAGTTGAACCTATAGCCAGCCACAAGGAGACACAGAAACCTGCTGCGATTCCAAAGAAAGCCCCCTGAAAAACAGATTTTAATTGGCCATTTGTGCACAAAACCAAACAACTCCAATCTCAGACACATCCGAATTCTTGTGCCCAGAGCCAAGTCGGTAAAAAATAAGAAAAAGAAATAAGGCATAATCTCATAATCCTATAATTGTAAAGATATGATTATTATCGAGAACCTTAGTGCCTTATGTTTAACTAGTAGTAAAATTATTGTATCATAAAAGTGAAGCTTCAAGGATGGAAAACTACTCAGCATTTGCGTGACAAAGAGTGAAAATGTACTGGGTGATGGTGTGACGAATGTGGCATAGAATGTGGAATGTCACAAGATACTATCTTTCCAGCTGTTAAAGATAAAGGGCAGAACAACCCCCTATGATATTGGGATAAAAGTCACAGTAACTGTTCTGGTCAGAGGCCACAGCAGAAGAATCCTGAGAAGGAGGACAAGGTCATCTAATCTAATCTAATCTAATCTAATCTAATTTTCATGCACATCTCTGTTACACCTAAAAACCGGGGTCAGGGAAATATAGTCAGACTTCGTGAACTGACATCCTACGGTGTTTGTCAGGGACACGTAGAACTGCCTTTTTTGCTGATTCTGTAATAAACACGAGTTAAGCCTAAATATCTTCTCCTGTTTGGAGAAGGGATCTGGCTCACACATAGACAGATTCCAGTAGAAAGAACAGAACCAAACATAACACACACTACAAAAAAGGACTTTGGTTCAGGGGCCACATTACAATCATAAAATAATTACCTATAAATGACAATAAGCTAACAGGTTTTTCCCCTTTCCATACAAAGAAATACAAGTATATTAGAAAATATTCATATTTAATAAAATATAATTTTGTTTGTGCAATTTTTAACTTTAAAATTCATCAAGTGGGTCGGACTGAACGCCCTAACATGCTGGTTTTAGCCCAGAGGCCTTATGTTTAACACCCCTCAAGTAATAGTTAGAATTATCTTTTGCTAATTTGCATCAAGTAGGGAGGGATGATGAGGAGTTATTGCATTCATTGCTTTTGTTTCTGCCCTCAGCCTTACAGTGGCAGGTAAAAAAAAACTGCGGAAATAACTCTCCCTTCGTCATTTTACTAAATCATAGTTTGTAAATGGAGCAGTGATTGTCAGTAATGATGCTGCACTCAGTCTGTTTTCTCTGGGTTAAACATTCGCCCAGTCAGTAATGCATTTCAAACAATGTAATAGTATTTTATTTATATTTATTTTAAGTTTAGATCATGTGCTCACCAGCCTGTTTGTCGCCGGAACAAACATTCCCAAAATGAATACTCCCAGTATGGGACCGCTGACCACACCCATGACAGTAAAAGATCCCTAATGGGAGAGGAATCACAGACAGAGATGTCAGATCATGTATGAATTATTCCACATATTCTCGTTCTTATTCCTATCTGTATGTTACAGTGCAGTAGGTCCTTTACCTGCAGGACTCCCAGGTCCACGAGTGAGGAGAGCCCAGCCACTGTGATACAAGACACTCCGAACAGGAAGGCTAAAACGCAAGAACAGCAACTATTGTAAATATTGTGGTGCATAGAAGCTAAAAAAACGTCATTTATAGGTTTTAATAAATGAGAATTTATTATTTATTAAACCCATTTACCAACTAGCTCTCTTCAGCTTGAACATTTTGAAATGTGTTGTGGTTCAGTGTTTTGTTTTAATTAAAGTAAAGACATTTATCTTTGCTGTAACTGAGAATTAACACGTACACAGTCCTTTGGAGAGAAGAATCTTTTTCTTCTGGCTCATGTGGATCAGATGAGGTTGCAGCAGATCCTCCATCGTTACTGCGGCCATGGCGTTGATACTAGTGGAGACGGTGCTACTCAAAAGACAGTGTCAATAAGTAAAGACAGTAATTTGACCAAAAATAATGCAATTTAACTATGTAATCACTATTATGATTCAGACGTAGGAAGTGGTTGTGGGAATTCGTATAGATTCTACACAAACACGTTCTTCAACTTTTAAGGCTGTTTTGAAGAATCAACTCTGTTCCAATGTGGTTTCACAGCAGCAGCAGCCAATTCATGAGATTATTAAGATTCAGAAAAAGAAAAAAATAAACACCTCAGAGTGCCGCTGTAGGCACAAGACAGGAAAAGGCCTGGGAAACCTGGATGATTCCTGAATATGTCCAGCACAAAGTACGGCATGTACTTCATTCAGTGAGTAAAAGTGGAGAAAAGAAAAATCAAGTTAGAAAAATCTTATCAAAGTAGTTGAAAAAATTCAGGTCATTTTTTCCCTGTGCTGTTGGTAATACCAGATCTGGTGAAGCTATTTTTCCAGACTTGAGTGGATCACAGTGGCCGTAATAAGTAAACATGACGATGCCACAGATGGCTGCGGAGCCCACGATGGTGCACAGACCCACCTGGTTCACAAGCACAGCCCTGCAGATGACAACAGACAGCGGTCATTGTACTATCTAATCAGGAGTTCAGCTCAGCTGAGTCTGAGAAGAGAGTCTTTATATTGTTGCTGTACCATTTTGAAATAGGACATATCTGTTACTTTTTAGCACATCATGACTACGACCAGCAGGAGCTGTGTGTTGAACATGACCAGATCTCTACTTTAACACAGGTCTTTCGTGTTGTCCACTCACAGCTGGGCTTGTCTCTCAGTCCTGCAGGAGATGTAGCGCTGCACCTGAGCCTGGTTCACACTGTACATGGACAGCCAAACTAATGCACCCCCAACTGTAAGGGTCCAGAAGGTGTAGCGTCGCTGTGGGATGACCTCAAAGCTGTGATCGAATATTGTTGTAAAAAAAAAAAAAAGCTGTGTTAATGGTAATCCTCATGTACAGAGTAAAAACTGCAACTCAATATTTCTATTGCTATAATACCATGCTTAATTATAGGCTCCTGTACTCTAGTACTGTACTAATTTCCCCACTGTGTCTTATCATATATATCATATCATATGATCATAAGAGATATCGATAAGAATTAAAAAAATACCAAACATTTCCAGTCGTCATCAGTCTGAGATAACGTAAGGAACCGGTTCCTAATTTTTCTCATAAAGTCAAACGTGTCTTTACGCATGAAAATTAATCCGTGATCCATTCCTGGCGATCTCAAGCACCGCAGCGGGGCCACCGACCAGAACTGTTCCTTGGATATAAATGGCCACGAAGCCTATCATCATGACGATGATCTGGAAGACGTCGGTCCAGACCACAGCTTTAACTCCGCCCTGATGCACGGAGGAGACACAGGTGTTCATGAAATAAAACATTCTGTCACAGCTTAATATAAACGTCTGAGTTTGTTGTGGGTACAATACAAAAACACTTAAACACTACAGTACTTATTGCTGTTGTTCAATCTGACTGCACTATTAGTAAATGTATTTACTGCCTTTGAGAGTACTATTATGGTAATATGCCATTTCTTTAAGAAGTATTTGGTGCGACACAGACCTGGTCTGAACATTAGGATTCTTATTTCAAGATAATCATAAGAATTACTCACAATCGCTGTGTACAGAGTACAGATCACCCCCGTAGAAATTAAAGACAACCACAGGTTGAGTCCAGTAGCTGAAACAATTAAGGTGATGCAATTTTCAATATTTTTTTAATCATGGAGTTACTTCAGTCATTTAAGTGTTTTTAAAGTCAATGCATATTATCACAACGGAGTTCCATAAGTCTCAAGGATGGTCCTGAAGACGGTGTCAACCTGAATTTAAGCCTTTTCAAATGCATGTTTATGAAAAGATTTCCACACTTTATTGTAAAAATGTATACAGTGCTGGCAGGTGTTGTATACATTTTCTATTCTCTCCTTTTTTTAAAACAACAATATATTAAAATTTTTATTGTCATCTTATTTCTTTTAGTATTAATTTGTAAAAATATTTATAAAGTATTACACAAAACCAATTATGGCAACCAAGAGCAAGGCATCAGTTACCTTGGTTCAGTATTAGGGCAGGAGCGTAGATGACGATGCCCGTGTAAAGAAGCTGAGGAAATGGAAACATCAGAAATCTGTATCAGTACTTCATCTCGACGTACACAGGAAGTATTTCTGTAAGGACAATTTGGAAAGCTCTTCTATCAAAATGGTCACAGAGGAGATAAAAAAATAAATGAATCAAACCGTCTCACCGTGGCCACCAAAAATTGGATGCTCCCCAACAGCTGCATTCCCCGTCCAAATCTGAGCTTCAGATACTGTGACAGACAGAAGACTGGGATTAATTACACCCCTCGCTACGGTATCGTTACTCATCCTTCCTCACCTCCATCTTCATCACATTTGATGAGCCACAGGTGAATTTTAACACTTTACTTGCTTCACTAGTATTGTGCTCCATTATTATGGATCAAAACTTTCATCCTAGTATTTACATTCTATGAAATAACTGTGCAAGTTGTATTTGGAAATAAATATAAATGATTAAGAATCACAGTAATCCAGTCTACATTCATCATGGTAACATTTAAACTTAAATGTTTAGAATTTTGTAATAAAATACAATAAAATAAAGCACAATAAAATACAAACAAGAGTAGCACACTGTCAATGAATACTGGAAACCTGAACAGTGGATGTTAGTGGATTAGATTACTAGGTTAGTAGATGTAGATTATGTTAGTAGTATTAGCGCTCTTGTTTCCACCATTGGCCGCGATGATAAATGCACTAGTAACGTCTTTTTCTTCATTGAATATAACCGGTAATTAAGTTACGTAAGTAACGACAAGAGCGTACAGAGCAGTTATTTAAAATGTTTAGAAGCGACTGGATTCCTTTTAAACTTCATTGTGTGAACCGGCACATCGACAATCAGGGGCGAGGACCCAAGAAGTGCAGACTTTCCACTGAATTAAACCACGGGCAGACGTTCACTAGACATTATTATTATTATACATTATTTATATGTTACTTACTATCATTAATGTGATAGGGTTGCACTTACCATTGCACCTACAGTTAGCTACAAGAATATCTGCAGCCAGACTCTGCCATAAAACTGTCAAGCTGTTCTGTGGCCATCAATAACAAAGGGATTCTCTTACATGATTGTTTTGTTCTACCTTTGTCCAGAATCAAACACGGTGTAAAAGTGTGACAGTGTAAACAAAAGTAGAATCTGGATTAAACCTGATTGGTGCTGCTGAAGCCCAGTCGATAAAACACAGGCAGGAAGAAGTAAGCTGTGAGCAGGGCGTTGATGCTCTGCCCCAGGCACATGTAGAGGAATTTCAAGCCGTAGCGGGAAGCCTCCGATGGAACTCCCAGGACCTGGACCGCTGACATAAAACTGGCACAGAGGGAAAGTCCGACAGGAACGGCTGACAAGCTCCGACCTGCGGTGAAGAACTCATCAGTATCTGCGTTCCTGGAACTCTTCTTCAAGGCCTGGAAGAGTCCAATGGACATAGAGACCAACAGCATGGCAGCAAAGACGGCATAGTCAGCAATGACGAATCCAGAATTGGACTGTGTCTCCACAGACTGCTCATCCATTGTTCTGATTTAGATGTGGGCCTTACAGCAGGGGTGGAGACTTATATTTGGATGTGGATTGAATCTGTCAAATGAGCAAATTATGATCTAGTAAGCAATTGACCAATGAACATGAGAGACACAGGAGGAGAGGAGAACCTGAGAGGGAATAAGTTTTTTTGTCACCTATTAAAACAATAACTTTGGTCTTTGTTTAAGTGACAACTGCCAGACTGGCTCATAAAAACATTCTTATTAGTGCAGTTTAAGAGAAGCTCTGCAGAGCACGCATTACCTCACAGCTCAACCCATAGGGAATAAAATGAAAATAAACAAGAGTTGGCATTAATGGGAAAACTATGAAGGATTTTAGTTAAAGAAACAAACTCAGAGTTTTATTAATCATAGGCCTACTCCAGCTTTAAAACAAATGTAATAATGTAGCAGCTTTTGTTGACCTACACCACTAGAACCAAAAGGTGTATAGAATAACAGAACCCCAAAGGTTGTCAGAGGCAAAGTGGAAAAGGAACTCAAAATCTGAGGCTGTGTCTCAACTGTCATCATGACAGGTAAAACACAAGATACTAACAATGATAAAAGAGAAAATTGAGTTTCATACATGTGTTTTCTATGGTCAAAATCACTCAATTCACGCTTTTCCTGTTCAAATACAGTGGGGCCTCGAGATACGTGTTTAGTCCGTTTCACAACAGCAGTCATGTGTCGATTCACTCGTATCTAGAATGCGGTTTCCCTATTAAAAATAACTCAAAACCAATTCATTCATTACAGCCCCCCAGAAACATATTATTAATTAATTTAATTAAAACTAATCCCCCTCCTATCTCTACATCAAAAACATAAATATTAACAAATATATTGATAATATAAATAATAATAATTAAGAAAACATTTTATATTTTTGCTACAAAAATGGGTAAAATAACCAAGCGAGGGACAGTGATTCAACGCGTACTACACATGCTGACGTCAGTCTGTCTTATATATTTAAAGAATCCCTGTGACATATTTAGTCTCTGTGAATGGCCTTGAATGTTCAAAGAAAACGTACAGGGTGAAGCAGAAAGTACCATTCCAAACGTACAGGGTGAAGCAGAAAGTACCGTTCCGCACTGATAGGGGGCAGTGAGGTTCATGACTGATGCTGAGCCTCATAGCTTAGGCACGAAGGGTAGTAGCGGAGCTGATGTTGTTTTACTATTTCCATAAGAAGTTAATGGGTTTGAAAAATCGCAATCTGAAAAGTAACGTAACCTACTGAACAAGATATTATGTTTACTAACGTAACCTACTGAACAAGATATTATATTTACAAAAGAAACTAACGAGAATACTGGAATACTGGAACTTGTATAGTTTTTGTCTAACGTGGTATAACGTACCCGCAACAAGGGGCGTTCAGGTACGATCGAAAATTTGAAAACTATAGATTAGGCACTATTTTGACAGGATTAACAAAACATTATGATGATTAAACCTGTGGGTATTTTTGATTTAAGTTCGTTACACAGGGCCATTAAATATCAGCTTTAACAAAGAAAGTCTCACATTTACCATAGAATCCCACCTCCTGACTAACAAAACCGTGTCTCGTTTTATTCTGGTCCCGATAAAACGCAGCAGCGGTATCCACACACTGTGGCGATAAAACTTCGCTTATTTTAGACAAGCAGCCTCAGTGTGAACTCATCGCTGATTGGATGTCGCGGCGCGCAGCTTCAATTAAAGCAGGGAAACTTTTAGGTCGTTCCACGTTTATTCGTATAATTTAGGAATAAGACCCCCAAAAAATATACCTTTCTAAAGGGGGCGGGAGTATTTAAAAAGAAGTGACTATTGTTATTAAACTGCGTCTTGTGCCTTTTTACAATTTACGAGTTGTTTTGAGTTCACTCTGCTGTGACGTGATAGCCTCGAAGAAGAAATAAGGGTATGTAGTGTAAACACAATTATTCGGTAAATATCGTAGATTCAGCATTGCTTTCCAGACAATAAAGACAGTGGCACAGCATTGTTAATGTATGATAGTTAAAGACTGCTTAGTTATTTGAACAACTTGTCTGACTGTAAAAAAAGTCCTTTATTTTATGATTATTTTTAATTACAAAATGTGGACACTCACCAGTCTTACTGCACTCCAGTCCTTTTAGTTGCTGCAAGTAAAAGGGGGGGGGGAGAGTCATACACACACACACACTCAAGCACACAGACACACGCAAGCACACAAAGATAACAGTACCGTCGCTGTACTCAGGTAATCTGTAAAAAAAACAAAAAAAAAAACAACACCTACAGAAAGTGTTTAGACTGACAAAATATGTACTTAACATGTATATGTAATAAATATTTAATCACATATATGGTACTTTTAATTATCTAATATTACCCTGTTGTCAAATATTTTCTTGCAAATAGTGTATGTGGAAGGAAAATGGAATAGAGTTTAAACCAATGTATTCACATTTGATTTGTTGATCAAAGTGAGAGCAGTAGTCATTTAAGAACCGTTATCAGCTGCACTGAGGCCTACAGTTCAGGCGTGGTACTTTCTTTTGGCAGTGACAGGAAATAATAATTTTAAAAAAACCTACAGAGCAGAAAAAGGAAACCACTGTTGACGCTGCTTCTCTTTTCCTGTAATGATATACGGGTTCACTTCATCGCCTTATTCATCTACTTTCATTTCATCTACACACACGGAGAACCAGCAAACTCCATAAAGAGAGACCATCCGCTACCACCGGGGATCAAAACTGTGA